CACCATTGCCAGAAACTCGGCCACAAAAACGGGTAGTCGAAGGGAATAAATCCAATTTAAAATCGGGCTGAAAATACCAACCCCTGACTTTTCGTCGTATTGCGATGCATCTGTAGCAATAATAACGTTCGTTGTAATATGGCGCAGGTGATCTTGTAGTAAACCATCCAAAATATTATGGGGAAGTAATTTGGCATTATTAGGAAAAATGTCGTCGAATTGAATTTCCACCGGGGCTAAATTATCACGACTCGGCATGATGTCGCTTATACGTACGTTTAGAGGCTCCAGTAAATTTTGCACAAATATAATTTGTGGCGTGTGAAATCGTGGCCATCTAGCAGAAAAAAATGATTACGGGGTGGAAATAAAGGCTGTTTCTGAATGTCGTAATGGTGATTCACAAATTCTTAAGAATGTCTGAACAGTAAGAAGGCGAATTCTACAAGAAAGCGGAGGGACCCTCGATTCGAGATACAACACATTGTTAGGAACAGTTTTGGGAAGGCCAAGGCATAAGCGCAAAGCTTCTCTTTCGAGAAGAATTAGAGGCCGCAACTTGTAAGCTGGAACTCCAGAGAAAAGTACACATCCAAATTCCAAAATGGGACAAACGTACATGTGATATATCATTACCAATGTGTCTCTTCTCATACCTATGCGGTAGTTGCTTAGCCTACGTAATATGCCAATGGCCCGCACTCCTTTTCCGGCGATATATTCGATATGAGGTCGCCAGTTAAGCGACGTGTGATAAATTACTCCAAGGTATTTAACAGATTTCAGCTGTGGTATGTCCTCATGGTGGTAAGACAGAGAGATGTTCACAGGGTATTGCAGCGGGAAAACAAGGAGGGCACATTTACTCGGATTAAGTAAAAAGCTGTTGCCATCGAGCCAGCTCTCCAATATATTAAGGTAAGTCTCCAGCCGTTCATATAAGGTCTGAATGTTATCTGCCATTGCAAAAAATGCGATATCGTCTGCATAAACATAAGTTGTTATATCCTGTTTACGTGAAATGGTGCTCATTAGTAAATTAAATAGCACCGAGCCTTGCGGTACTCCTCTCGTTTGGGTATGAGTAGATGATGAAAACCCATCTTTAAAACAATAAAATTTTCTGTCTGCAAGAAAATTGTGTACCCACGCTACTATGTATGATGGAAAATCAAGGTATTCTAATCGATCTATCAAAATAGAGTGCTCCACGGTATCATATGCTTTAGCGATGTCAAAGGTAACTAAGGCTGCATATTTTTTATGCAGCCGAGCTAATTGAAGCCGACTCTCTAAATCAACGTGGGCATCCCAAATCGAACAACCAGCCCTGAACCCAATTTGACAGGGACTTAGAATTGACCTCATGGTAATAATTTCATTAATTCGTATATTGATGATTCTCTCAACCAATTTCACTAAGTTTGATGTCAGTGTGATCGGCCTTATGTTATCCAACGTGTATGCATCAATTTCATTTTTTAGCAACAATACAATTTTGGAAAGTTTCTATTCTGAAGGTATCCATGCGTTCCCTAACGAATAATTCACTAGTTCTAGCAAAATATTAGGCGATTCCTGGAGTAAACATTTCAACATAGAGTTCGTAATCCCATCTGGTCCAGGAGCCGTCCTCGGTAAGCATAATACTGTCTGACTCAATTCAGCTAAGGAAACTTCTGGAAATTCATGCAAGTTTACCAGAACGGACTGAATAGCCAAAAAATTAGCAGTGAAGCGGCGTTCTAAACCTTGCGCTATGTCTTCTAGAGAGGTGTTCATTTCTTCCGGCGTCAAGACACATGACTGCAACGTTAAAGGTGCTGGCAGTACTTTTCTTGTCCGAAGATAAGCGAACAAAGCACGCTTATTTTTAGATTTAGAAAGATAATCAAAATGTCTACTGTCGTATTCTTCTTTCGTGCGGTTCACTGTACGCTTAAATACGCCAGCAAGGAATTGATAGTCCTTCCAGTTTGTTGGGCTCTGATTAGGAAGAAGTTTTTTCCAAGCGGCTTTTCGTCTTCTATAATCGCGCGTACACTCATCATTCCACCAACGAGAGGAGTACCGTTTATTGGATGGAATATAAAATTCGGAATTTTTCTAGATCCCTCCAGCATTGAACTAATCGTAGATGCAATCTCCTTAGTACTGGCATTTCCAAGCTTGAAAATGGCAGAACGAAGGCAGGTTTGAAATTCGCTATGGTTGATGTATGTGCGTTTTGGCTGATCTAAAGTTATTGTTGGACAAGTAATGTCAAAAACTACAGGAAGATGGTCGCTGTTAGTTGCCGAATTCAGAACAGCCCATGAGAAAACCTTGATTGCATTGGAGCAAAACGTTAAATCCAATACTGAGCTAGTTTGACCTCGGACAAATGTTACATGACCTTTATTCAGACAGGAGAGGTTGTGATCAATAGTCCATTCCCACAGTCGCCTACCACAAGAATCTGTCCTTATACCCCAAGACAAATGAAGTGAATTAAAGTCTCCTGTGAGTACAACTTCCTTTCTACATGCTACTAAAACGCTATCAAGATAACGCGTACTTTGCACACCGGAGGGGAAGTAACAATTTACAATTGAAAAAGGATGGTATCCGGGGAGACAAAAGTCTAATGCTAATATTTCACAATCCAAGTCCAACATTTTGAAAGAAATTTTTGCCCCATGGCATAATTTACTTGATACAAGGATCATTAAACTACCACCACGTGATGGGCGATCTAATCGAAAAGAACGAAAACCTGCAAGATGGAAATTTTTATCTGGTGTGAGCCAAGTTTCTTGGAGAATTATAATATCAAGATTAAAATTATTGCAAAAGTAATGTAAGTCGGTTGAAGCTGAGAATATAGAACGGCAGTTCCACTGTAGTACCCTCAATTGACCTATGGTGTTGAGCGCACCACAGAGGCGCATGTCGCGCCCTTGTTAGCATCTTCACGCGAAATAGCTGATTCATTCCGTTTAGATTTGGACTTGAGATTGGTGAAGATAGGGGATCTGGCACGTTTATTAGTTCGTATATCGAGTTCCATATCTGTAGCAGTACTTGTGCTTGGCTGAGGCGAATGTCGGTCCAAGTGCACCTGTGTTCCTGACTGCTTAGCCTTGCCTGCAGATGCAGAAAGTTCGTCCAACACTACATTGCGTAGCTGTGTAGCATCGCTGGTAATGTCTAATACTGCTGGTTCTGTACTAGTGTTCACTGTTTGTCCAATCTGACTTGAAAGAATTTGCACCAAATAGTCGGAAAGGTTAGATATGAGTTTATCCATTGCCTTACACACTGCTTTTTCCACAGCAGTTTCAATAGCCTGCGATAGGCTGGAGTCCATACTGGAAGTGCAGCGCCCTGTAATACCAGAGTATCCAAAAGCCCTGTCTCTAACTATGTCAATGGCTTCCCTTCGAGAACAGCGGCGGCGGTCAATAACTTCAAGGATTTGAACCTCCCGGGAACGAGCGGAACAGTCAGAGTTGTCGGCGCAGTGACTGCCCCTACAGAGACAACACTTTTCCGCTGTTGCAGTACACTTGCTTGAAGGATGGCTCTCTCCGCAGGTGCTACAACGAACGTTAGATTTACATCCTCCCGCACTGTGGCCAAATCTCCAGCAGTTCTTGCATTGAATCGGACGGGAAGCGAGGGGTTCTACTCGGAAGATCAGTGGCCATAACTTTATTTCTGACGGGCATTTGGTGCCCACAAATGACGCGATGACAGATTCGGTTGGTGCCCTCTCGTTGTCGACTAGGCGATTACACCGGTAAATTGAAATTACGCCTGCTCCAGAGAGCCTGTCTAGGGTCCCAGCTGGACTCAGCTTGGAGTCGACTCCCCGTACAAGGCCTTTGGTACATGCAAGGTGAGGTGGAATAAAAGCGCTCACCGGGGTAGCAGCAAAGGAGGTGCATTTAAGAAGATCCTGCACGCAGGTCTGATCTGGCGACCTACACACGATACCTCCTCGCCCAAATGGGCGCACATCTGTGGTCTGGAAATGATTTGAAGTTGTCTTAAGTTCCTTTTGAACCACCTGAGGGTTTGTAAGTCTGATGAAGCCCCCATTTGTCGGTACCAGTGCCACGGGAATACTGTCGATACCACTGCGGAAAAAGGAGTCTAGCGGTAATTCACGCTAGACGGCAGGGACGCTGACCAGGCGGATCGCGCCTGGCCAGGAGAAGTAGTCGACATGAGCGCTAGAGATACGGTTAGACTCAGAAACAGATATACTATAAAATCGCACTCTAAGACAGAAAGTTAAAACCACTCAATCCTCAGCCAAGAACACCCCAGCAGGTTGAGCACGGGCAAGCCAGGCTCCGAAGCTTACGTGTCCCAAAGCACAGGCTTCTCGCAATCGGCGGCTCAAGCGCAATAATGCATTTGATCAAAGCACGGGGTAGGGACGGCGCGCGAATCAAAGGCCTTAACAACACAGTGCTACTTTCAAAACTGCAGTCAGTCAAACCAAGCTCGGCCGACACATCCTGCACCATTCGGAGGAAACTTGTTCTTCTCATAAAAGTGATAAAAGCTCAAAAAAACTGAGAGCACATCGGCGTGGTGTAGTTAGCACATGGTAGTAGTAATCACTTCTTTCGATGCCCATGAGGCTAGGGAACACGAAGAACAAAGTGAACACTCGCAGGTCCAGAACAACAACAAACACTCCACGGTGCGGTTGCAATCCACAAGCACGTGCCATCTTTCAAATCACAATCAACTATTTCCTTCCTTCTTGCCGTTAACTTATCCTTGCCGTCCTTGCTGCTGCTCATAACGATGGAGCTTTTGTAAACATGGTGCCGAACATGAAGTGAAACAATCTGCAAGTTTGTCACGTTAACTTTAACTATTACAAATGTTTTAACTAGTTTCCTACCATCAAGTTTCTGAGCACGTTACGTTATTTTATGGTAACCAATGCATCGACGATGCCTCCATTGTGACTGCCTCAGACTGGCAGTCACATCGTCAGCAACGTCGTTGCGCTGCCAGCGGCCATGATTGTTTTCGTCAACTTGGACAAGTGAGGTCGATTTGGCGACACGCAGGCGTATTCGTACGGTATTCGACGCACCGGGCGAGGAAAATAAACGCAGCCATGTATTGCCTGCAGTGGCTCATTCCCGTGCTGCTCATACCCAAGCCCATGAACCTGGCGTTGGTTCAGAATCACGTGATGTTCATGGTCCTCTACCTGACTGGTTTCTTCCTGGAGCGCAAGCCGTGCACCATTTGCAGCCTGGTGTTCATCGCCGCCGTGTTCCTCATCTGCTACAGCGGCATGGGGAACTGCATCTTCTCGCTGTTCGTCAACTGCAATTCGGTGACCTGCGAGCAGGGCACGTAGCGTTCGCGTAGTGCCTTGCTTTTTTTTTTATATGTAAGTTTTTTTTTCTCGCCTGCCTGACCTTCCCCCCACCCCTTCCCGTTTACCTCACCACACCGAGGTAGACTACGTTTCGCCGCCGACTTTTCTGCACCTGTGGGAAATGAAAACTGCGATCTCGGAACGGTGGGTGACCTTACTACGACGCATTCACGGGACTGCCTAAAGAGCCGCCCACCTCCCCCCCCCCCCCCCCCCGAGAAAAAAAAAAAAAAGTCGCACGCGTTATGGCGCCTTATACTGCAGTTGTTGGACTCTGAGCGCTTGCGTATTGTGGACGGATGAGTACTTCGTGATTGCCAAACGAAGGCAGAAGAAAGAAGAGACAGCCTTCCAGTCTTCCCCCGTGTGTTGTGTGTGGACTGTTTGCGAAGTCTATCTGCGGCGGCCCGCCTTCTGTACTACGCTTTGGATACACCCCAAACACAACACGGTGCGTCGTAATAGCTGGCCGCAAGTGGCCAAGAAGACTTTCAGCTGGCCTACCCCTCTCCCCGAACCTTACTCGTCTAAAAAGCACGCACTACCATGTTCCGCGTCGCAGTTTCTTGCAGCGACTTTTTTTCTTGTTGTTGTTCCGACTTTCCTCTGGCTGTTTATTTTTTGGCGGTTTCTTTCCTTGTCTCTTTTGATTCCTTTAAGTGAACGGGGACTCTTCAAAAACTACAGCTGTGGCTATCGTGGTCCGTATTTGTTTTCTTTGCATTTTGTTGTGGACAGTCGTGTTGCTCTCTAAATAAAGAAGTGTTGTGACACAGATTGCCGCAGTTTTTTTCCGTTTGTTTTGGCCCGACACACAGACGTATGCAGATTTTTAGAGTTGCTGTTAACGTTTGCTGGGTCTGCGAATCGTACGTGCTTTTATTTTGTTGTTTTCCTTTTCCACAACATGCTTGTACGCGCACTCATTGCCGATGTGGCGTGGCTGCACTGCAGCAAGCATCTCTGGAAACTGCACTGTGCAACTTGCCACTCTGTCAATCTGGTAGTGGCACAATTCGTCTCGCATAGCTTTGGAAACATGGCCCCCTCCCTCTTTAAGCATTTGAAACGGCCTTCGTTAGAAGTTTTCAACTGTGGAGGTGGTTCGGTTTGCATTCGGACGTCAAAACTCACACACTCGCTATTGAACATTGGTATCCTGACTTAAACCTCACCTCCTGGACCCTTGACTTCCATAAACCATTAATCAGACCTTGTGGTGTCTTGACTAAAACCTGTGTGCTACATTTCCATAGTTAAATTGCAAGGCTAGACAGGTATGTGCCGGGGATTCTAGGGCTCTGAACTTGACAAACAAGGTATTCTGATGTTAACAACTTGGAGTTGCAATTCGCAACTGCTTAACAGTATTATAAGATTCACTGTTTTATGTCGAGACTGAGGACATCGAGGTTGCACATTAACAAGCGAAATTGTCCCTGTTCAAGTGGTTAGGTACGCATGCTAGGCTGTCCCTTATCAACTACGTGCTATAATTGAAAGTCATGAAAACTTAATCATCAATAGAGGCCTGTGTAATGCATACATCACATGTACTTCAACACACTCTTCTCCATGATCATGAACAGTTGAGTTTCACGAAAACACGGTGGTTTTCTTAGATCTATAGCAAAACGTTTGTCTACTCCACATCTAGGTGTGAGTAATAACAGTTTTCCCAGAAAAGTGTTACTTGCTTGTGCGTTATGACATGATTGCCATTAAATGTTACTTTGACATTTACAATGTTCTGTTATTCACTGTCACTCAGGTTTTCGTGACAACCAATCTTTCAGACTATCAGAGGCAGATTCATAGTGCAATGCATGAAATAATGGGTAATGTTCATAATGTGCCAGGTCATGCCTTATAATCTTTCTAGGATGTATTTGTCGGCCCTGAAATTAGCCTCCAGATAAAATTTTAGGCTGAAGAAACTGCAATGCTGTGGGTGTCGTGTGATCGAGGCAGTATATTATTTGGGTGAGCTTGCTGCTGAGCATTCAGCTTTCACCAATTCACTCTTGTGGCCTTCTCGACATTAACCTTTTACTGCCTCACATAAGCATGAATCTTCTGTTTTTTGCAAAGAAAAAACAGCAGCGAGGCTACCGATTTCACAAGCCGCATTTTCACTTAAGGTATGGTTCGACGACCTTAAAGAATGTTTGCAACACCGCAGTCACTCTTCAGCTGCACTTGGAAGTGACACAGATGGCCGTGTAGGAAAAACCATTGTAAGGAACATTTATTAACATCCTTTGGATTTTTCAATACGCTGGGGGTTTTCTTCGCAACAACGCCAAGCGCTTCGTTGAGAACCGCCAGTACACAGTTGCAATACTGCTGCGAGGGACTATTGTTTGGTTTCCATTTTTTTTTGCAGAGACAAGCCTCATGAGAAGCGGTGTGTCCTTTTTTTTTTTAACCTAAGCCTACGCGAGCATATTTATCGAATGCAGTGCGGCGAGACCGTTCTTTCGGCCAGCCCTTTGAAGTTTCACACAGTGCCCGTTGACTACCGGGGCTTCGGCAACTATGACGGTCGCGTGAGGTGCCAAAAAGACACAATCTCTGTAAAAGACTTGATCCTTTTACCTGCTTGATTGAGCAGGAGGTAGCTATAACTGTAACATAAAAAGTGGAAAGCTCATTGACCAGAGAGTAAAACAAGAGCAAATAAAACGGAGAGGCTTCCAAATGGCGAGGGAAGTGCAATCACTAGTTCCAGTGCCTCTCTAGACACTGTGAGCATGGAATCGTAACCGTACACAACTTAATTTCCGTCAGCATAGGTTGGGCGACCCTATCACATTCTTGACGCCACACACAATGGACATGCCATACCACTCTGGTTGAGTTTTTTTGTTTTTGTTTTAGCTTATAAGTTAGGGTGTGGTTACAAGTGGCATCATGGGGAAAAAAAGATGCGACCTACAACTTGTCGTTAGTCACCTCCTGTAGTCCTTTCCCCTTTTTTTTCCCCGGCCAAAACTAAAACATGCTAAATAACGTTATCTGCGACCTCAGCACTGTAAAAACGATTTCTGGCTGAAACGGACAATGCTGCGAAGAGGTTCTCCATCCTCTATACGTGCTTGCGCAACTCTGTTGCAGACATGCTAACAGAAGGTGCTAGTAAAATTCACCAGAACCTGTGTGAAATTTGTAAGCAATGATGACTTTTTTATACACCCAGTGCTTCAATGCCCATTAAGGTTGGAACCCTTAGTTTTTTTGACCTCCGCCGTTTAGAAACACCACAAGTAGTAAGCATGTTGCATCACCAAGCAACAGCCTTACACAGCATTGTTTTGTTGGACCAGCTGGTCACGGTGCAAAGTTATACTCCGAATGTGTCTTCTCACACTAATCGATTGCAATACGGGGGCCTGCAAACCCCTTGAAGGCTTCTCATGTTGTCACTAAGGCCTTTGTAAAGCTTTCATCGTGAGGAAACATTGGTGAGGCATAATAATAGCCTGAACAACTTTTCATCAAAGGTCTATGGAATGGTGAAGAAATACACCTGAAGGCTTTTAATTGTGCAGGTCACTGCATTTTTAATAAACAGCTGAGCAGAACACTACATAGCACTTTCTGCCAGGTCACCTGCATCGTGCCCTCCAGTGCCTTGCCTAATCAAGGCAGGTTTGCATAGGCCTTTGCACGACGACCTGTGTGAGAGGCTTTGTGATGGCTTTCCCCACCATGGTGTGCGTCATTAACATTTAAAGGATGAAGTCCTGCAACTTCCTTAACCATTTGGAAGCTCCACGTGGTGACTAGACATGAGAAAACAGCATCTGTAAAAAGGTCCCTTGAAAGTTGGTTGTAACAGGAGCACATATAGGAGTTTATTCTGCACTGTGCCCGGCATAGCTAACCTACTGTAACATACCACTTTTATGCCTGTATTGTTCAGTGTGCTCCCTGCATATTCTCATATATACAGTCTTGCTATTCTGGTTATTTCTTCTTTTTTTAAAACTAGCCCTGCAGTGTGAGAGAGAGACATTCACAAGCAAGATACAAAGAAGCCCGAATTCCGGTCACACATTGCCAGAACATAACTGACACCCGATGCCATTCTTACAGCAACAGCGGTGACGTGAACATGGCATCGTGCATTGGAACAGTGATGGAACGAAACGAGAAATCCGGCACACATTTGGTAGCAGTCTTTCTGTCGACTCTTGACAGCGAGGTTAACGGTTTGGTTCAGATGACCTCAAATGTGATGGTTAAAGAAAAAAAATAATAAAAACAACGTAAGCCACAACACCTGTGCATACCATAAGCGCTACAATACGTTTGTTGGCGCCAAAGTTCGGCTTCCAAGTTGTACAAGCCACGCTTGAGAACACAGTTTTAAGTAAAGGCCAATGTATGCGTGCGACAAAACAAACAAACATATAAACATCAGTTCCCGTCATTGTTACAGAAAGGTGGGCGATGGAGGAGGTTGTGAAGAGCCTTGTGAACAAACTGAGGCCTTTGTGTCTTTTCACAGTGGTTCCTTTGACTTGTCTCACTTCCGGGAACTCGGAGGAATGTCATAGCTCTTCTCAAAAGGCAAAAGTGCCTGCACGACAGTTGCTATGGGGGCATAGAGTTGCTTGACTAGATAATCCTGCTCTCGCAAGCAAAACAACAGAAGCCTACCGAGACAGTACCTGCATCGCTCCGTAGGAAAAAGAAAAAAAAAAAAAACAGAAATTTTGCTTAACTAGCACCTTGCTAACAACAATAACAAAAAAAGAAAAAAGCATAGAAAAGAGCAATACAGACACACCGAAACGTTGAGAAAATTGTGATTACATAACTTTCATCATGAGAGGAACGGGAAGAAGAAACCAGGCCAGCCTACAGTTGTGTGAGCGTTGTTAGGCGTGTGAAATGTTACGAAAGTACGTGCGTGAATAGGATACAGCTGACTCATGTTAATTAAAACTCCCAGGTGCCATAGATGAAGCGAGGCTTGAATTATTTGAAGTTGATTTAAGCATTGCTCGGAACAGAACTAAGTTCGTGCTGAACAGACCTAAGTTGAACATATGTGTGCATGCTAAGACTGTTTTTGTGTGTCGCCATGCAGATCTCTGAATGAGAAGTTTGTTGGGGCTTAAGAGCTAATGAAGATTTTGTAAGAAAAAGCAATGCAGTGAAGAAAGCTTAAACGAATGCTTTCTGTGAGTATCGGTGGCATGGAGGAGTATTTGATTTCTCTGTGTAGTCGTATAGTGGCATCTGTGAACCTACACTAATGAATCAAATATGGGTGCATTGCTTTTGCCATTAATACTTTGAAATGCCATGTCATCGGGTACTTGAAACCACATGTAATGTTTTACAGATGCCTGAATGTTTTAATTAACAAAAGTACTACCTTAATGAAGCTCCTTCAAAGTGCACTCAAAAGGCAGCAGACAAAGTAATATATCCCAAGTTTCCCGACTAAACTGTAACTTCAAATCATTGCAATTCAACAGCGTTTCTTCAAATGAGTTTTACCTGGGGGCCACATGCATTATGCTGAAAAATAATACAGAAATAGAAGCGCTGGCACATAACAAGGCAGAGCTCTGAACTGCAAAAGCCTTGAATTTCAATTATTTACCAGTCATTGTTGCAATGGCCATTAAACGCAATTAATGTAACCAGAAAGAAGAGAACTTCTGTGGCAGGTGTGGATGCCGAGCTGCTGAAATGCATGGTCAATGTGTGGGCACCATGTTTAGTAAATGTGAATTTTTAAATTTGTCATGCCAGCCATTTGTAAGAAATTTATCAGTTTTCCTTTATATCAGGGGTGCGCACAATGTGGCTGAAAATTTTTGGAGCGATGCTACTTCCAACATACACAAAACAGTGATAGAAGCAAATTCGGAAAAAGCTTTCCACATAAAGTTCAAGCAAGCAAGCTTAGAAACCATAGGCTTGATGTAACCACTGCAAACAAATTACAGTCAGCTGGGGAGGGTTTCGAAATGTGTGCGTTTCAGCACAGATCCTGTATAGAATACTGATCTTTGGGTCCGGGGGCAGAAATGATTTGTAAAGTTTCACAACCACTCAACAGCTCTAAGTTTTGTTCTGGAGGCTTTGTTTTCTGTAAATGAATTTGCATTATAGTGGTTTACACGGTCATTACTGATCGCCTAAAGCGACCAGTAACGTAAAAGCTTAGCTTCCAGAAATACTGGCCAACTTTTCTTGCAGCGTATATAGTGTTTTAAAGAATAGAGAGTAAACTACAATATAACTCAAATTAACCTTTTCATGTTCCTACTGTTTCTTAAAAAGAAACTGACAAAATTTGAAAGGCACGACAATCATCAAAGTGGTTGCCTGTAAACTATAAACTTTTGACAATATGCCACAATCTAATTTCGTCGTAGATATGAGCAAGGTAATGAAAATCTCAGCCTGTGCTTTCACCGATGAAGGAACTCGTTTTGATGTTTTCCTCGTGGAGCAATCAAACAACGACCTGCGGACCGATATACTTCAACTGCACGTACCCGAATGCTTTAGAACGACAACGTAGATGCCACAACAAAGCGAAGCACTGCATTTGTCGAAAACGCTTCACTCCCACCGCGGGCGAAGGAAACCAGATGCCTCTGCGTGTACTTTTTGGGTGCTTACGCGAGAAAGCGGAAGAGGCCAAGCGCAAGTGCTTTTGATTAGCAAAGCAGTGAGTGCTGTGAGGAACGTGAATCGCAGCAAGATGCGCGCCTATCGACTCAACTTACTTCCAGGTAAGAAAAGCACTAGAGATGTATGAGCAGTTAGACGTCGTACTTTGTACACGTATGCATGCCCAGTTTTACTTTGCAATAAGCCTAATTGAGTGCACAGGAAGTGGGGGGGGGGGAGCTCCTCTAGTTAATTAAGAAAGTATGACCGAGTGTATTTAAGGGAGTTTGACCAAGGTATGACCAAGTGTGCCCAATACCTTCTCTCAGTCACACCTGTCCCATTGTTGCTTAAAGATGAAGGATCGTAGCCGTGCAAGTTTTTGACAAAAATAACGGCCGAGGATTCACGACGTATTTCAAGGAATGTCTGATTCCCACTTTTATCCCCCAGAAAGCTGGTGACCAAAGGCAAGGGCATTGTGAGAAGCGTGTCGTCACTTCACTTTTCATTTTTTGCATCTGTCACGAACGTTAGTTCTTCTTGGACTCAACTGGGGGGGGGGATGGGGGGAGCTGCTGTCTCTCCCGACTTCCCCTAGTGCACGCTTATGGTGATAAAAGTAGACGCGCGGCACTTGATAGTATGACAGGTTTGCAGCCACAGCACTGCGAGATTGAGCATAACACAAGTGCTAACCTCACCGGATTTGTTTATCGGCAATGGATGCACAAACATCAATGTATGTGCACTGGGAGAATACTCAAAGCAAGTGTGATGGTACGTGTACGTATGTATGCACAGACATGCACCTTCCCATTTCGAATAAACTGTTCGTTGAAGTTGGAACTCATATCGAGTCCTTTTCGTCTGTCCCTACACTCGTGAAAAACTGCTCGTCATTTGTCCCATTAGTAGTTTTGGCATACGCATGTGCAATCTGCAAACATGAAAGAGGGCATGCACACAATTAGTGTTTGAAACTAGTACTTTGGTCGTGTATGCTTGCAACAGGGAAAAGCCCCACCAGTGGGGCTCTTCAGCAGAAGAACGGTACTACAGATAGCAGTGGGTGAGGTTCTGACTAGGTGCTCTCGCAAGAAGTGTTGTGTCGAAGAACACAAGATGTTTTGTTTCCGTACTGGCAGAGAGTGTGTGACGAGAACAAAATGTGCTGATACCCCTGGCTTCTGCCTATGAAAGTGAACTTGGTCGACAGGCACCGTCTTGCATCGTGTTGTGTCCCACCACTGTGTCGTTTGCAGCAGACGTCTAATTAAGACGCAGCATCACCTACTGGTCTCATTCACCACTCATTCGTTGGAAAGAACCGCAAATGTATCCTCCTCTGCAAAACCATTAAAAGAAACAGACAGACTGAAAAAGGCCGACAGCTATGCAACTTGCTGGTCGAACGGTCTTCATCATAAATTGGTCATTTGCATGAAGATAGGTGGTAACTGCAAAGCCTGAGCAAAGTGTGGGAAGGAGGGGGCAGTGTACAATGTTCGAAATGCTTCAGTGTGAGTTGGGCGGCAGGATGGGGTAGGTTGGGAGCTGAGCCTCGGTTCACTGAGCCCTGCGAGTCTTTCTACCTCAAATCATCGGGCAACGTACAAAGGTGTGCTTACAACATGCCCTGTCTGAAAACGTTTCTTCCCCTACTCCCCACCAGATGTGTGCGAGAGACAGCCTGCCAAAGAGTTCCTAGCGCACAAAAAGCGCTGTGCATGCCAGTCCCGCATTAGAAACAACACGAAATGGCCGAGGCAGGGAGGAAGGGGGATCGGTTTTAGCATGGCATGCCTAGCATGGGGCAGCATGCCACCGTCTCTCTTGTACTGCAAAAAACAATGCAGCACACACAGACACACACACACACGCATGGAACATTTAAACGCACAGTCCTCTGTCTGAGAAAACTCAACAATAAGCGGCGGGTGGCCCAAAAGACCAACCTGAGGGGGCGCCGTCACGTGCCAAAGGTTTTTGGAGAAAAAAAAATGATACGGTATGAGAGATGGTAAAAAAACGAGCAAACAAACACAAAAACGTCACTGCACACACCAGACACCACACTACAACAACCTGTCCCATCAAAACCTTGTGCAGGAAACACAAAGGTAACCGAAGAAGGCATGGGTTCTGACCATAACCATATTCCTCCGGAAAAGGGAGGCTGGCGGCTAAAACCCAAGAAGGAACTGTAAGAGGGTAAGGAATATCGCATCGAGAGCGATCGTTCAAAGTGCAAAAAAGGGGATGGGAAGGCAAGGAGCGGGCACAAGCATTTGTCTGAAAGCCAAGCCTGCCAGACGCTGGCACACATAAAACTGTGCGCAGCGGAATTTAAAAACGCCGTAGTGCTCTCTCCCCATTGTCCAAATTGTCCTGCCCAGCATGCCTGTTGCAGTCGAGGAGAGGAAAACAAGAGAAAACGCAGGCAGGTCTCCAGTTCTGCCAGAGGCTAGGTTACTACACTCGAGCACAGTCCCCTTGTGTTCAATCGTTGCCAACACGTCGGCAAATGATATGCACTTGTGGAAACGGCACGAGCGCGCGCAGTGCGCCGGTGCCACCGACTCTTGGAAGATGGCAGCCTCTGTTGTGGCTCGGGAGGGGGGCGATGCATCCTTCGCATGTCTCATCGGCTGGATATCGTGGCTTGCTTGCTCGCCTGTTTGCCGATTTCCAGGCTTGGGAAGCGAGCAGCACCTTGCCGTGTGGCAGCCAACAAAACCGTGTCCAGGCAGCGATGAAAGTGGGGAAACGAGAGCGAAGGGGCGATGGGGGTTTTACACAAAAGCGCTCAAGCAGAGCCCGTTGTACGAAATGGGAGGAGTGATGTCGGGAAGATGAAGAAGCCTTATTGCTGGCAGAACGAAACCCAAGAGAGGGCGGCAGGTGGTCTCTTCCGAGCATTCGGGGGCATGCTGCATTGAGTAGTCGTAGCATTTGCTACTGCTGTTGATGCTGCTGCTGCTTCTGTTGTTCTGGTCCGGGCAAGTGATGATGACGCCCTCTTCATTACAGAGGTGAAGAAGTGTAACAGCACGAAGCTCGGGACAACGAAGAAGGCTGTAGAGAAAGGGGAGCTAGTAGCAGTTTGTGTTCAGGTACGCGTGGTGACCGCCTCGCGCCATTGAGCTTGTTGAGCTGAGAGGGTGTGTCCCCCCACGAGTTGTCTTCAGCCTCGGTGAAGAGAGGGGCGTGTGGCAGCGGCGGATGACGGGGCGCGGCGGCTTCAGGCAGCACTGCCCTTGCGCGAGGGGGAAGGCAGCTGGGCCAGCTTTCGGAACAGCGGGGAGTTGACGAACCGCGGGTACGAATCGCGGTGCATGAGGGTGTAGATCTGCAGCTGTGCCTCATCGAAGGTGTGCGGCGTGGGCTCCACCATGTTTCGGTTGATGATCTCCCGCACGCGAGAGTCCAGGCTCACCTGCAATGACGGGTGGAAAGGCAGAGGCATTGAGGTCTGTGAATGCGAACAAACATGTTTCTGTGATGCGGCAACAATACAGTTTCCACAGTAGGCAAAACACCGCTAAATTAGCGTTTCACGAAGTAAACTACATGCTGAGAATAAAATGATACTGCCAAGCTCAGTACTGCCAGTATGGATATTCAAAATAAGAACGACATCGCTTTCATTTGCTGTGCCTTCTTATTTCGTGTCAAGGACTTTATGCTCAGTTTGACTTTTAAAGTCAAACCCACCATCACTATTTAACAAGACACCATTTAGCAGTGAATTTTACAAATGTACAGAAATGAAATAAAAACACACTATTAATGCCTCTGAATCTTAATGTTATGCCATGGCAATGGTGGTGCAGTACTTGGAACGTCGCCACTGATGTACTCAAGCAAAATTATTTTATATGCGTCACAGCTATTGATTAAAGCCAATATATTATGTTAATAGTTACTCATCATTCAGTGTTTCAACATCCCTTGAGCTAGGGTTTTTTGAAAAAAGGTTCAGAAATATGTATAATAACCCTGTCAAAAAAATGTGCCCAGACCAATTGGAAATTTTCGAGTGGATCAAATTAGAACCAATTGGAAACATTTAATTGTGTTTTGGGACACTAATTGGAAAATTCCAGTGGGTTCAATGAGTCACCCAGTTTGGTTTGAATAGGCTTGGCCAACATAACTATTTGGTAACACAATCAATATCCAAATGGACTGACCAATTAGGCTAGCCCAGTTCAACCATTAAGAACAGCATAGAGTTTCAATTGGTTTTATCAATTGTACGACTTTTCAAGCAAAGCAGCAACATTATTGAACACTACATCACCCCTGCAAAGAGGCAAACACTGTCCCTAAATGCTACTGTGCTTGAAATGCCGCAGCCACCAACCTCCTTAGGGGACAGGATGGAAATGTAGTCTTCATAGATGGCGCGAGCTTTCTCCTCAATCAGCTCCGGGTTTGACTCCTTCTTGAGGTCCTCGCAAGCCAGCCAGAACAGAATGTTTTCTTCACTGTACTCACACTTCAAGAAGTCCCTAAACACCTTGCGACCAGCTGAAACCAATTGAAAAAAAAAAAGAAAAAAGGAGTGAACCAAGAGTGGGTGACAACGTGAAGACAGCACAAATGCAATTCCTTTCTAAGTAAAACTCTGAGCAACACACATTTTTAAGTGTTTAGGAGAGATTATTTTGGACCGTGATACTAATGTAGTGAATACTCAGTTATAACAAGGTAAATGGTCAATGTGTGTTGCCACTCATACAAATACACATTTATAACAAATTTTCTGATATACACCGAAGTCCTTTTCGTGCTCTGTGCAAGTTCATTGCAATGTGCACATTTTCCGCCTTTATGTAACAAATTATTGAATATAATTAACAGAGTAAATGAAAGATCACATTACTTCTCTTTATCTGTAAAAGTGTTCATAATAAATAGTTAATATAACAGACACTTTTGAGAGGTGCAATTCTGTTATAGCGTAGTTAAACTGCAGACAACGCGTGAAAGAAGGTAAGGTGCGCAAACGTTACTTTCAACAATACAATTCACCAGTGCACACGTGCGTCTTGTCTTTTGATGTTTCCATCTGCACCCACCTCAGTAATTTAGCAGCTATTATGCTGTAGCATTGAACTTGAGGATGCAGGTTTGATTCCCAATCACGAAAACTCCAGATGAACACCAGGTGGTTCAATATTGATTCCAAGTAGCACACTATAACGTCTTCCATGTTCATATTGTTGTTTTGGTGCATAAAATTCGGCACTGAATAAAAGCGAATAAGATTCCCTCTCCGTATATATTGTGCTAAAAAGTGAAAACAGTGACACCAGCACTGCGTAGTATGAACGCTTGCTCAGCATTACGTGCGTGCTCACATGTGTGCATGCTGTTATGACCGGCGTCAGCAGGCGCCATGCTGTCGCTGAGAAGCGTAGCCGGGCCGCGTTCCCACGCCTGGAACTCCAGTATTCTCGGAACCAGCGTCCAGAGATGACGGGGGAGCGGCACTCTTTTAATCCCCAAACAAGTAGCCGACTCGCCGAATGTCTATGCTCGCCAGCTATTGTCCCTGCTAGCCGGCGGATGAGACGTCCTGTCGCCACGAAGCTGTAAGCCGTTCCGGAGGGGACAACAAAGAGCGTATTCCTTTGAAGAAACGGCGACCGCCGCCACAAAGTGCCCGGCTAATTGAGCGGACCGTTTGGCGGACCGTTTGATGTCTGCTGTCCGAAGCTTGGGACCCCTCGACCAGTGACACACACGACGAGAAAGAGCCCCTCTGGCGCCACCTTTAAGTGCAGTGATCTTGACTCGAAATTGGCTGTTCACGTGCGCCGTGCCTGCTCGTACCCCTCACCTGTTGTGTGTGTATGTGATTGGTGTTCCACTGAAGAAGGAGGAGCCCGAGAGGACTTATAACGGCGCCGCAGAGTGCAGGACGTCGCTCTGAACCCAGTAAAGGTTCAACCACCACGCTCGTGGTTTGTGAACTCTTAACCTCATGCTGTAAATATTTGTAGATAGTGCCATAAACCTTGTTTGTTTTTCGTATCCCCATCTTGTAAGCGGTCGTTTCCTCAACCCGAAGCTACACCACGCTACCACAGCACCCCGGGATCACGACAACTGGTGCTCACCGGTGGGATTCCCGACAACTGGTGGCAGCGGTGGGATTCGAAGCTACAAGTGACAACAACAGTCGGCCCAGGAGAAGCAGCTGGCTCGAGACATGGATCACGTATGGGTGAGTGCTTAGCTTTTCCTTTGAGTGAACCAGGTTCTAAAAGAGGGTAAATTTTAGAACTGGTAGTTAACTTTGCCGAAAGACTCAGTTTCGCCGTTTCGGAAAGTTATTTTTGGAAGTAGCGAGCACTCAGTACGATCATGGACTTACGGGAGCTGCAGAAGTCAGACTTGTTGCTGTTGTGTGAGGAATTGGGGATCGATACAAAGGGTTTGGCACGAAAACCCATAATCATTCAAGCGATTAATGATTTGGGGGCTGATGATGAGGAACTAAGTGAAGAATGGGACCTCATCATCGAAAGAAAACTAAGAGCAGCTCAGATGGAAGGAAAGAGTGAAGACGAAAGAGAAAGCCTCAAGCTAAAGTTTTTCAAACAAGACTATGAGTTGAGTATGAGGTTGGGACGCCAGCAAGGAGTACTCGAAAATGAGGCAGAGTTCGAGATGTCTAGGTACATGCAGCCATATGAGGTATCATGGGATATGGGCCTGTATCTTAGACTCTTTGAACGGAAGTGTAGTCAACTGAAGTGTGAGCGAGACACCTGGTCTCAGAGGCTACGCACGGTTCTGCCCTGCGAGGCAGCGGATGTTGTTGCGCGACTCAGTTAGCAGCACGCGAACAACTATGATGTTATTAAAGCAGAGCTAATCAGGAGATTTGTAAACTCTGTTAGCAAAAAGGAAGAAAGACTCAGGCCGAAGTCTGAAAGCGAGGCGCGTCGCAAAGCGCCAGAAGTTGAGGCGCCTCATAAAGCGCGACAGGAACAGATCACGCCAGAGAAGGGCCCGCGTATTCTCGAATGCATCCATGTAAATGATGTAGAGAACGAGGCCGTGGCCGGTCTGGAGGTGGGGACAGTGTCGACAGATGCTCCTTGCGTGGGTGAAGAGGGTGCCAGCAGCCCTAATGAGCCCAGTAATGAGCTGAAAACCTTCTTCGTGCCTCAGGGGGACCTTTCGACATTGTCAAATGTAGGCATGGTTAGCGCAGTGGCTGATGAGAGCAAGAGCGCCACGCTTCAGCAGTGCAGCGATAATACCGCGCTGGTTTGCAAACATCGCAGAAAAAGGAAGAAGCGGAGGCATTCGTCACTGCGCAAGCCTAGGACAGGCCCCACTCAGTCACAAGAAAGACGAGAGGGTAGGCCACTAATACGTTTAAGGAAACGTCAATGGGGCTGTTCGTGGAAGCACAAGCGGCGAGCCAGGTGTGGAGGGAGAAAGGGAGGTGCGTCACCCCAACGAAGCGCGCGGTTCAGCTCGACGACTTCGGAAAAGCGGCCTTGCCCGAAGGATCAAAGTCGAAAGCGCAGAGGGGCTAAATACCGCGCAGGGGTGAATACAAAGAGAAAATGGCACAGGCTCCCTCCGAGCTACTGGCATCCCTTTCAAATTCCTGAGGAGAACAGGCCGAAGTGCAGAATGAGGCGTGACGGCCGAACACAGCCTAGCGGTTGCACGTTTTGTAGCCTCCGGCGTGCTCGAAATCCGCCGGGACCGCGACCCCATCGTGTGCGATTCAAGCGAATCTAATTGAGAAAAGGGGGCGGTCAGTTTGAGTAATTTTGGTGCGTGCGTGTTAATTGTGTCTACTCATATTGCATTGAAGATGCAGATTTGAGCCACTTTAAATTTGGTAAGTTTGATGCGGAGTAAATTTTTCAAAAAGAAAACCGCCGAACTAAAGGCTGAAAATTGAAGTCAGTTTAATCACAAGTGCGAAAATTTCCATAAGGTAAAAACCGAGAAAATATGTTATTTTTCTCGTTTTTTTTTAAAAGGTTTAGTGTAATATTGTATGCCTTCACTGCCATTGGGATGTGGCGTGAACGAGCATTCGAGGAAGAAGTTAACATGGACCAAGTGATTTCATAAATTGATTAAGTTTGGCGCGACACAGTGGAGTTGTCGTTGCACGCATTAAGAATTGAATGTCAGTGGGGCACGATTTTAGCATAAAACTTGTGCATTATTGTGAGGTGCATTTGATGAGTATCGCACCTAGGATTACTTTTGTGTTGTTCACTGTGCGTTACAACGTAACGTAAGAATAAGTCGTTAGACAAACTGCGAAGGAATAAGCGTTTGGTTGATAGCGCCGTGTATTTTGTAGTGCTTAGAAATGAGAGTAATTGAAGGCTCAGGAGAGCCCAGTGAGATTTACTCAGAGGCATTAGCAAAGGCAGTTTGCTTCAACCGGGCGAACATTCTAGAAAGAAGTGTTTGTCTCTGTTTTGTTGGTCTTCTTTGAAGACAATTGATCATTGATCATATGAGCGGATCATTTAAGCTTTCCCTAACCATTGAGGTAGCCCGTTAGGTCAAGGCTTAGGTTAAGCTTTCAGGAAAGCTAGATAGCTTACTGTATCAGTAGTAGACAATTATTGGTACACGTAAACAAAAACGGACTTTAGGACAATCTTAGCGCTCGCTGAGTCCGGAACCGAACCGATGCTCTCAGCGGGACAGAACCGATGAAAGCAGTCAGCGACGAAAAGAAGGAGACAGCCGTATTAATTCAGGACGACAATGGTATCAAGCAAAGCTGCGCGTTGCTTGCGCCAGAATTTGGGCTCTCGTGAGATAACGTACTGCGCTTCAGGAAAGGAGTGCGCCTGCATTGTGTAGAGCATTCATCAGTGGCAGTGTTATCTCAGGGGAGGGCTCATTTAAAGTAGATACAGGTCATTGTCCCCTTGGCTGCAAACCATGACATCGAAGAACAGTCGCCTTGTGAGGCGGAGCTTGATTCTTCGAAAATATCATTTTGGCATTAGGAAAAGGGCAAATTGAATGAAAACGCTGGCGTGCTCCGTCGCTCTTTCTAAACCATTCTGGAGTGCTCTTGGTGTATCAAAATTGATATTTTAGTTTTTTTTTTGTCGTGCATCTTATTATGTACATTTGTAAGGTAGCACGCCTGGTTTTTCAGCTCAAGTGAGTCCTGAGAGTTCTGAGAGTGAGCTTTTGTTAAAGCTAGTAATTAAAATTGGTTTGTCATCCCTCTTTTGGCTTGGTTTGTTCGAGGGGGGGCCGAGTGCTTGCTTGTGCATGTGGTCCAGTTGCAGAAACGGTGTCGAAGATTCGGCATTTACTCAGACCATGCCACAAGCGAAGGCGAGTTCTTGGGATTCGACTACAGACCCTTTCGTCGTCCCTGCGAGCAGCAGTGTTGACCGCTGCCCTCCGTGACTCATCTGGCGAGGGGGAAGCTGTTATGACCGGCGTCAGCAGGCGCCATGCTGTCGCTGAGAAGCGTAGCCGGGCCGCGTTCCCACGCCTGGAACTCCAGTATTCTCGGAACCAGCGTCCAGAGATGACGGGGGAGCGGCACTCTTTTAATCCCCAAACAAGTAGCCGACTCGCCGAATGTCTATGCTCGCCAGCTATTGTCCCTGCTAGCCGGCGGATGAGACGTCCTGTCGCCACGAAGCTGTAAGCCGTTCCGGAGGGGACAACAAAGAGCGTATTCCTTTGAAGAAACGGCGACCGCCGCCACAAAGTGCCCGGCTAATTGAGCGGACCGTTTGGCGGACCGTTTGATGTCTGCTGTCCGAAGCTTGGGACCCCTCGACCAGTGACACACACGACGAGCAAGAGCCCCTCTGGCGCCACCTTTAAGTGCAGTGATCTTGCCTCGAAATTGGCTGTTCACGTGCGCCGTGCCTGCTCGTACCCCTCACCTGTTGTGTGTGTATGTGATTGGTGTTCCACTGAAGAAGGAGGAGCCCGAGAGGACTTATAACGGCGCCGCAGAGTGCAGGACGTCGCTCTGAACCCAGTAAAGGTTCAACCACCACGCCCGTGGTTTGTGAACTCTTAACCTCATGCTGTAAATATTTGTAGATAGTGCCATAAACCTTGTTTGTTTTTCGTATCCCCATCTTGTAAGCGGTCGTTTCCTCAACCCGAAGCTACACCACGCTACCACAGCACCCCGGGATCACGACAACTGGTGCTCACCGGTGGGATTCCCGACAATGCATTGATGTAGTGTGCACATTACATTTGCATACACTCATAGCTGCAGCATGTTATCCGAGCATTATGCAGAGACCATTGCTGCAAAGTAGAAGAGGAAGGTACATAGCGCTCTTGCAGTTACTAATGTGTCAGTAGCTCATTTGCAGTGAAACATTACAGTGGTGATATTTTAGAGTGGGATTCTTCTTACGTGTGAAGCCTTGTAATTGAGTTCTGATTATAATTTTTTCTGTTGTTCTCCGCAGTTCTTGTGCTTAATTTGAGTTTCTACATTCAGCACAGTAAATCAGCACTGGCAAAATACAACAATAAGGCAGATATTATAATGAACCTTCAGGCAGAGACAGAATAACGACTCCTAATTGGAAGTGTGAACTAGTGTAATTGAATTCAAACTATATTGCAGATGTCTTAAGGAAACCTTGAGTAGAAATACTGCAAATTTCAACTGGTAAAGTCTTCTTTAAATTTTATTTGCAATAAGTTCACAGGAAGAAGCTTATTAGTGTCCGTAAAATTAAGGCCAACCTTCAATTTGGTGACTTTTATGCCAAATAAAACCTCAGTACTGATGCATGGCAGAGTGTAATTCATTCCCTGATTAAAATAACCATCTATGTTCAATCAGAAAACAAGGCAGTAAAAACAAAGACGAAGCACTGGAACACCACACAAAGTACTGAAGAGCTTTTCATGGTGCATTGCTTGCTTCTATGCTTCCGCTTCGTTTCTACCGCACTGTTTTCCAATTGATCACTTTCAACAAACTAGCTGACAAGTTCACTTTATCAGCTATCTAGGCACAATAGAAAAGTCTTGGAACTTTGCTTGCCTCTAACAGCAGATCTTTTCGTTCTGCTTGAGGTGTTTGGGAAAACACAGTGGGTATGCCCCATTGAAAGCAGATGTGTACCAAGCGGCTTCTAGCATAGCATAGCTAGGCATAATACATATAGCAAGGAAGTGGGGCAGAGAAGTTTGTGTGAGGAGAAAGGGAAGGAGGAGGGGAGGGGGTAAAGAGGGTGTGCTTCACAGAAAGTGGCTATGCACCAAACAGCTTTTAGCATAGCATAGCCATGCACCTTCTTTCTGATATGAAGGGGTGGGATGGCCATGTACATATAGCGTAGTAAAGCATGGGGAAAGCAGTGGAAATGAGGGTAAGAAGTGATGTAAGGGTGAGGATGATAGAAAAGTAGAGGAGAGTAAAACATAGCATAGCATTGTATAGTACAGCATAGCAAAAGATGGTAAAGGCAGGTGACTCAGAGAAAGGTAAGGAGGAGGTTAATGCATGCAGTATACTCTTGCACAATTAGCAAGGGGTGCAAAAGGTAAGCGAGGGTGAAGAAGTAAGAAAGGATGGGGAGGCGATGCACCAGATACACTATTTCCTCAGCCTTCACACGACCAGCACTTAGCTGCCCCAATTATTTTTTTGTCTCCTCTATTTGACACTGGCGGAGAGCATGGCTAAAAAAAGCTACATTGCACATAATCATGTGGTAATTGTCATTTGTCTAATAAGTATCTTTTATATATGCTACATAAGAAATCATGACTTATATTTCTGTTCTTGAGCTGCAAATTCATTAAATAGTAAAGGAAGAGAGATCACGTGTATGTACCCAAGAAAGCTCGCTGAGTGGTAAAAATTCCTACACTGTGGTGATGCTCTCTCTTTGTAATTATGGCATAATAAAAAAGATATGTAAACTGATTCTTCAACAAGTACCATCGATGTGCTCCTAAAAAATAATACGAGCTTTTATTCAAAGGCTTACAAATCACCTCTGCGACATAAATGTGGGAGTTGAACACACCTGAACACTTCATGAGCTTCTCAAATGAGTCTCCCCATGTCCGAATTTCTTCTAACGTAGGGCTGCAATGCAAAGAGACGCAAGAGATTATTGAACAATATGAAACACACTTTTTTCATTAAAAATGAAAAGTGGTCGAATCGTTGTAAAGCTGTACATGACTCGGTTGCAAGAACATCAGACACATATGTTATTCGAAGGTCGCAAATTCGGTCTCTGCCAGTAGCAAGTGGTCTTTTTATCTACTGTACTTTCTTCGCATTTATATCTCAATAAGTATTCTACATATAACACTCTTTATACCTTTCTGGGCTTTCTTGTCTGTTAGTTCCCATTAACATGAAAGAAAATCACGGCATTCACTAAAGCCATCATCATTGCATCATATTTTTCAACATGGTACGTGATTGAAATCTTAGACACTTAAATGCACTAAAATTCATCATCCATAAGATGGTAACCTATCTAGTGTTTGAAAAGTGTACCATTCACTCATCTATGATTAATAATACACTGGTGTCCCTTTGAGCCAAAAAAAACTTTGTATGGATGAAGGAGGGTGGTAGAGAACAAAAAAAAAACTTTAATAATAATGATAGTAACGTAAATAAAACTTACATTTTCACTATAAAGACGTGGAAATAATGGGATAGCAACAAAATGGAATGTTATATGAAGGGTGGTAGCTCACACTTTGAGTACCTGACTGAGCGTAGCTCAGCATAATGCTGGCATAATAAAATGCAGCCTCTGTAGTGAGCGAAGGGATCTTCATGTTGTCTAAGGCTTGAACGCAAATTGAGTAGCAAGGACACAGCACATACATATGCGTGAGTAGTCTGCTGGTCACCGTCAAGATTGGGCACGCATGGCGACAACCAGCCAGTCAAAATGCACAGTTCCTACCAGAGCCTCCTGGACTTTCCATGGCCCTTTTGTGTGATGGAATACGGACGGTGCCTTTTCTCTCTGTTTGAGAGGTGATTGTTGGCTGCCACTGCACGCTTTCACTTGCACACAAAACACTTAATTTGCGAGGCTACATTATCGTAACTTGAACTTAATATGGAACCTCATGGCGACGCTGACGTCGACTTTGATGGCAGAAATGTGGGTACACCTGGAGTGTCCATACGATTGGTGTTGCAACAGTATGAAACTATGCTGTATCAGGGGGACGCTCACTGCCGAGAGATGAAGCCCCTAGCTCTGCCCCAACTTATACTTTGCGCTTGCGGTACAACTGTGCTTTGGAGGCTTTTGGTGTAGTGACACGTACGGTGGCTCGCCGTCTCCATTAAAGATGCTGTCACCCGTGGTTAGCCTCTGGTTGTTGTCCCGTGGTGACCTAACGTTGCCATTGTTGCTTTTGAGGGCCAGGCTGTGAAAAGGAATAAGAACAACACATTAGATGAGGTACGACGACAGGTAGTGTCGTGCATAAATTAAACGTTGATCATAAGTTGGGTAGGGCATGCGCATCTTTAACAGCGAAGCTACTTAAGTTGTCGGTAACTTGTGCTTTGTCCTGTATAACTCCACACATGGGTACATAACTCCGCATGTGCCTCTGGAACTGAGCAAGCCGCTCTACCGAGTACAGCAGATATGAGCGTTAAGTAAAACTCTGCTAGGTCAGGAGGTGCACGTTAAGCACATGAAAAATAGAAAGCAATTAAAAAAGAGGAAAAAGTATGGCAAAATACAGGGAATAACGTCTTAAAAAGATAGAAAGACATAGAAAGAGAGAGAGCTAAACATAGACACAAAATTGAGGTTGAAAAAACAGAGAGAGACAGAAAGAAAAAAAAATTAAAGAAACGAAAAACGAGAAAAATGGAAAAAGGGATACAAGAACATGAAAAAAGACACGAATGATAGAAGAAACAGACATGAAAAAATTATAAAAAGACACAGGGCTAGACAGAAAAAGAAAGGAGCAAAGATAAACAAAAAGAAAGAGAGATAAAGAAATTCAAACAGATACAGAAAAAGAGATACAAGAAACAGAAAGAAGAAGAAGAAAAATAAATAAAAGGAAACAAGAGAGGCCACCCAGTTTCGTTCTTCATTGACGCTCGACACCACTACGAAGCTGGCACAATTTTTTTAACGGAAGGTTTCCTTTGGGATGTATAGATCGCAACAGGATGAGAAACCTCGGGATATAGATGGGCCGTGCTTCATGACAATGAACAAGCATGCTTGCAACCCAGCAAATAATAACAAACAACAAAAAAAAATTTAAAAAGAGAGTGCAAGTTATAACCAACTGCATATGTGTCTATGCGTGGCTTAATTCTCTGAGTGGGTTGTAGTAGCTCAGGTTTTACAGAAAACAAGAATAGTAATCTTATAAAAACGTATCCGTGTAAAGACCATGCAGCAGTGAGACGACTCCTACATTTTACTCTAGTAGCGCCTGGTAACATGTGAACTATCGGCTACATACTATAGAAGAGTAATTTTTTCACTTCCAATATAGTCACTACGATCTGACCCACCTTGAAAGCTTGACGGGTTTCTGCAAGCTTGCATAGACTGGCCTCGATCCTCTCCTAAAGGAACACAGGAATGAATGTTGTAAGTGCTTTCAGGACATGACCTAACAAAGCAACACGGTTAGAGCTTTAACTGACAGAAAAGTTAATGTGCTTGTTGCAAACTGTGCCAACGATTCTGAAAAATACGTTGTGCCCATGATTTGCTCTGTGAGGTGGGTTTTGACCATTCACAGCTTTACTATCTCTTCGGATTCGATTACTGGCCATGCCTAGCAAACTGACAGAAAACCGAGTTTGCATTTCCTTTTGTGGTATCCTTTGCTACTTGTCTTTGCTATGCGACAGTCATTTGCACAATCCCACTCTCTGTATATCCATGGTTGCTGCAGGTTATATTCAGTTAGTCAATAAGCCTAAGAGATGTTATGAAAGTGCAATAGAAAAGAAACACAATAAAAAAGCAGCAAAAAAATGCATAGACAGACTAACGAAACAACAGAGATATGAGCAGTCGGACTAGCTGCGAGATCAACTGCACTGACAGTGCCTGTTAAAATATTATGAGAAAAGAAGTGCTCATCTGCTAATTTCAGACTAATCTTGGAAAAACCTTTGAATTAACACGAAGAATAGCACATGTATATACTTTCTGCAAATGTGTAGCAGATGCGTGCAGCAATTTACGACTGCTATAAAACAAATGACTCGGACAACACATCCCTCAGAACAAAAAAGCAAAATATCTTACCACCATGGTGACTAACACCAGATTTTCCTCCACTCTTGTGTGTCTAGCATTACTGAACCAGAGCATGACCATTCATTTCAGTAATGCAGATACTTGCGCTACCAGTGTGCGGTTGTTCAGAGTGAATGAAAGGTGGCGTATCACGTCACTAAGTAAACAGAGTGCTGGCAAATCTACTAAAGGTTTTTAGCTTGCCTGCATACTTTTTATATTACCTAGTTACCAGAATACTGGAGAAAACCTGCACACTTGTACGAAATGTGGACTTGCTTTTATGAAACATGTACTACTTGCCATGTTTTACATTTATGATCATGTCTCGCTGATTCAAGAGGTTTGAGGCTATTCACGATATTCGCTTTATATATTCGCTTCCATATTCGCTTCAGGATACTCACGATATTCACTCCAGCCATCGAGTCAAAATAAGGTGAAGAAGTGCAAGCCCCGGCTACGATTCTGTTGTTTGAGCCGGATTAGAAAGCTAGAGTAACCTACTATACCAAAGTCGCATATGTGAGGCCTGAGGTTTTTCAGAAGCTGAATATAATCATCTGGTAACCTGGTATTCCTTCTCCCTTTGCGTATGCCAGAATACAATACATACTAAAATCTTCTACTATGATTTGGCTCCAGTGATGATTGAATATTATACAAATATAATATACAGCCTATGTGTAGTTATCATCAGTATAAAGTGGTTTCGCAAAAATGTAAACATATAATTTTACATACATATGTAAACATCTGTGAATAGAAAGCTAACTCCCATAACACGGTAAACAAAATCCGTTATTCTGATAACAGCGGTAACATTAAAAAGTACCGACAAACTGAAAACCTACGCTTACATGCTCTCCAATACTTTGGGTCATCATACACCATCAGTAGTATTGAAAAAGCACACCTACTACGTTAAATAAGCAAGCCATTAATGTTGGACTTAACAGAACCCTGTGCAATGGTGGTCACACTTGCTGATCATCTGGGGGCTTGCTGTCATGACCCATAGGAAAGTTCATCATAACAAATCTGTCACTTTCGTAGCATGCACACGTTTGCATGCACACAGAGTAAGAGCATAGTGTAGGTGCATACTTGCGTCTCTGGCGGAAAAACGTTATGCATTGCACGGATTTCAGCAGGTCGATTTTGATGTAACGCGAAGTGCACCTAAACATTCTTACTGAAAGGAACATATCTTTCAAGTAGTCACCCATTAGAGGATTACTAAGAAGTTCCTAGAACGTGAGATATTGGAGGTGCTTGTGTAGTACCAGCTTCTTTTTTCAAAGAACTGCTTTCCTTAGAACAAAAATTTTAAAAAGTGTCTTGTAGTTCTGTGCACTCGGTTCATAAAGCGTTTAAAATACTATACACTCACCAAGAACAACTACAGCAACAGCACCAGCAGAAGCAACAAGTCTTGGACTGCTTATCGCGTGCAGGGGTTGTCCCAGATGTCTCCTGGGGAGGCGACCCACCGTTGTTGTTGTTCTGCAGGTTCCCACACACCCGGCCCGAGTCTCCCCCTCCTGGCGGCTCGAACACCGAGACACCGACATGACTTGGTCCCGCCCACGATGGGCTGTGTGCACAGCACACAGACAGTTCCATAAGTGGCAATCTAGCACACGAACGACATTATGCAGTAAAGGCCCGTTAATTTGCAGTTCACGGCACCGGAGAAACTATCCGAATTAAATGAATGACAAATTGTCAAAAGTATTAAGAAAACAATAAACATATATTAAATCATTGCACATACATTTTCTTCAGGAATATGTAATTGATTAATGATTTTACATAAGAGCAGTGCAAAAAAAAACGCTGCATTTTCCCTTTGCGAATTCATTGACAATATGAACGCGGCTCAAGAACCTCGAGTCCTAATTTGAAATGTGCTCAGAAACCACATCTAATTATGTATGAATAATGTAATTATAAATGGCAATTGTAAATGAACGCTATTTTCGTTCTTTTGCATCGCACACAATTTTCACTCTAATTAATTGGCGTGCGGCTAAATATGACCGAATCACCGAGAGTTTGATACAATTAAACAATGCACATGCTTGCCTGGACCAGAGAACCTACCCAAATCATCCCATTGTCTGAAATAATGATGGTTGAATGAATGAGCTTTCACTGTATTTTTTTGCTCATTGACCATATTGGCTCAATGAATGCACCTGGATATTCTCCTGTGAGGTTTTTGTTCTCCTAGTACACAATGCAATCTTTTTTTTTTACCTATAATCGAGAATTACACAAGCCCTAAACATTTCGTCAGTGTCTATGACAGTAGTGGCTAGCTGGTGCTGGAACTTCAAGATGGTGCTACCAGCAGCACCATCTGCACTTTTTTACAGCTTAACAGGTGTCTTCTTGCATCTTAAGTGGTGTGCCTGGTATTTGGGAGCGTTAGTTTTATATACCATTGAAGACTATGCCCTGTTAACCTTGTGAATTCCAGGCATGTTAAGTCACGGTGGCCACATCAAATGAGAAGGAAGTACTGAGTGTAAACGCGGCACAGCGGGTTCACTTTGATTTTCGTATTTACCAGCACACTAGCACACCGCATGTCAGCTCAGCCTAAGGTCGTCTGAATGATGGTGAATGTTGACTAATGTTATCCGCTCTCACCAAGCACTCTCATTCAATCCAGTCACTTCCAATCAATTGATTCTGATGTTTAGGTTAATCTTTTTCTTTAGATGCTGCCTAATTGTGTGGAAGAAACATCTGTGAACACTGGGTGCTGCTGAACTTTTTGACACACATTTTGAAAAGGCTTCAATCTTAAAGAGGATAAGTTCACTTGTTGAATTGTTGGCTACGGCACCACCACCTGTTCAAGAGTTGTTCATTTAATTCTTCAACATCTTCCCTGAACTTCTGGCTTATTTGAATTTTCTTTATGGTGTATTAACTGGAGGGGCCTTGTGACCTAGATTTGTGAACTGGACAAATGGCAATTCCATTAAGGTATATGAAAAAAGAAATATAAAAGAGAAGATTCACCTACCCATTTGATGAGCCTAAACATCTGCAAAAACTAATAATTTTAGATACAGCTTCTTTCCGTTGAAAATTGAGGGCTGTAACAAATTTCCTAATCATGTTGTTATGTCTGATGACTCAAATACGGGAATATTTTTCTTGTTCTTGAACTTGACATTGCTTGAGTTTGTACTATTGTTGAACATGCTTTATTCACTATCTTTATACAAGTTCTGTTTCTTTCTTCATTCGCTTATTACGTACGTTGGGTACTTTCTGCTTAGGCCAAAATATCATACAGCTTTCACTATCTTGAACCAAAGAAATAAATGAAATGAATAAGAAAAATCGTGCACCTCCTCTCCACCTCGCACTTGGTGTCTGGAACAACGACGGCGGTGGTGGCTGCCGCCGAAGCGACGGAAGATGCCGGCGACGGCTTCTTCGAAGAGGACTGCGCATGCGCCGACTCCGCGGAAGCAGCGCTCGGCGGCGGCTGTAGCCTCACCGACGCGTCGGGCCGCGTCGACTCGGCTTCGGTGGTCCTCGGCTCCCTCGTCACTTCCGCTTCCGGTTCTGCCAGCGTCGGTGGGGGCGTGGTCAGCGGTGGTTGTTGGAGGTCGTCGACGCCCGTTGGCGCTGCCGTCGGCGACTCGGCTGTTGCCGGTGGGGTCGGCTCGCCTCGGCATTCGGGCGCCTGCTGCTGCTGCTTCTGTTGTTGCTGCTCCGGCTCTGGCTGTGGCTGCGGGTTGGCTTCGGCTGCTGAGGCCCACTGCGTGCTGTTGGACATCTGCGAGTGGCACGGGATGGGGGGAGGAGGAGGTGATCGAACGGGACGTTGCACCAAAGTGACACGAAAAGCCACGAGACGAATCAGCGTTGCTTTTACGCATGCTGTGTCGAACACGCAGTAGGCGCTCGACCTTCTCGAGTATTCTTAGTACGGGAAGGAAATACGCTCACCCTACCCGCCTGCCATGCAGGGACGAGATCATTAAAAAAAAATTGTTCAGCCTCATTTCAAGTATCGCTCTTCCCTTAATTTATCCACGCATACGACATTACTTGTACGAGCGAATACAGAAAGGAAATGCATTATACGAACGTTTTTATTTCACATCCCACTCGCGGCAAATTGTTTTCTGCGCCCACTTCCAAGTTTTTCTTCGCCCAATAATTATATTCATCTCCCAATTAAGAACTATACATAACGTTCCACAGTTCATCGTTTGACTTCAATGGGTTACCTTGGCTACATCATTCCGATTTTCACTCATGTATTACACGAGTCAACGAGCGTCCGCTTTTTTTTTTTTTCAATCTTCTACCAAGAAAGTGACGTTTCTGTTTTATGCTGCGGGGATGGCAGCAAAAGACGTCCGTGCACAGTACTGCAATACAGGCCTTAAGAAATAAAAGAACCAATAAAGACAGCAGCGTGCGCGTACAATGAATAACGCAAAGCAGCGAGGAACGGATATATACGCGAAGGCGTAGAACGTAGATGTAACGTCGCCTTAGTAGATAACGTGAAATGTTCACTATGCGACAATTATCAATGCAAGCTGATAGCGTTAATCACTAGATAACGAGTGAAACACGTAAGCTATACGGTTCGTTTTTAACCGTTATGATCGGGACTTCTCCCCGTCTTCACATGCTCATTTGTTGTCACTTCATTCACTGGAATACCGCCGTACACGTGAGAGTATTATCCTGTTGCACAAGATTGTACACAAAATGACCCGCGTTCACGCGCCCTTATCTTTCGCTGATATACCAGCGCGTACAACACGTAGTACAGACGCTTTGAACCTTGTACCCCTCAGGTCTCGTTTTGGATTGTTTCAAATTCTCTTTTTTTTCCACGTGTGGTGGAAGTTTGGAACAAGCTTGATGGTGCATTGCGTAGAATGAACACTGTAGAGTTCGGGAAAAATTTTATGTGTTAGTCCCATAAATTTGTGCGCTCTATTGTTTGTTCTTGTGCTTTCGTTGATTTTTCTGTACCCGCTCCTGCAATGTCACAGGCATGGGACAGCAGTATTTGTAAATAATAAAAAAAATAATATAGACCTTAGGCTAACCGTTGCCCTCATTCGCGCACGAAGAAACAAAAGACACGTTGTTACACTAATACAAAGAAATCGAGGCAGCACTCACAGCCGCTCCAAGCCAATACCCTCCACCCCCGCAGCATACATTATGGTCATGCAGGTACTTTCAGTCTACGGCGCACAAATTCAAGAGTGCATCGGCAAATATCTTCACTCCATTCAACTCCGCGTACCTCGTCGCAACACGACGATAGATATAGCGCGAGAACAAAACGACCACACAAAGACAAGAAGGACACGAAAGACACTTCTTGTCTCTGTGTCGTCGTTTTGTTCTCGCGCTATAACTATCGTCATGCCATACCAAATAGCCCAAGCTGCCACACTTCGTCGCAACAACCATGCGACACTGTTTGTAAAGCGTGCTTCGCCGCAATAACAAATATCGTGCGGAAAAGCCAAACGTTCAACAGCGACAAACGTGTTTTTTTTTTCATTCGTTTTTTTTTTACCGCACACATTGCAAAGACAGGTTCAAAAGAAACGCGGCTATTTGCCTTGTCCGGAGTGAAAAAATAAAATTAGCGTTGGCCGGTGCGCGCTCATACGTTACCGACGAAGCGGCAAAGCTTTGCTGCACTGGGAGTGTTCATGTACTTTCAGTGGGAACGTTAGCGGCTGGTCTCAGTTTAATATATTGTGTTCCAATTGTGCGGAAGCATTTATAAATTTTTACTTGATCATTGAGTCGTTCGCACTGTCAGATGTCAGGGCTGTTAAAGCAGATTTGAGGAGAGAGGGAGGCGGAACTAGGTCATCACAACTTGCGGATGTAAGGATTAGCGAACGAGCGAATGAATGCACACTTAGCAACATAGCCATTCGAGAACGGAAACTGGGTGCTACAGCGCACCCACGAGATTTCTTTTTTCACTGCACGGAACTAACAGAGGATAAAAGAAACATCACGCATACTCTTTGGCTTTAGAGGTGTGACGAGCACGGAGGGACATCGCTGTGGTGTCGCGCCGGTTGCACGGGATAACGGGCACGTTCGCACGAAAACGAGAACGGCCGCGGCACGCGTTGGCCATTGCGGCGATCGAGGACGCTTCTCGGAGAGGAACGTCGAATCGGTGCACGAGCGTTGCATCGCGAACGAAGCGATCCATCGACGATACGAGCGTCTGCCCGATACACGAACGATGACACGCCGAGCGGCCTTCCAAGGAGCGACTCTACGTGACACTGCATGTCACTGCAGTTGCGTGCAACGGGCGATGCATGCGAATATATAACGATAGCGTTGAACGGGAAGGTAGTCATAGGGGGAAAAAAAGCAGAAGAATGTATTGTCAGTGCGCAAACGCGATCAGTGCACGACTATCACGTTTGTCCGTGAGAAACGCCGACTAATGAACGTTTGAACGTTATTTTAGTAATACTATTTACCGGCTGTCTTATATGGGAACCATCTCTCACTCACTCTTAGTGAAGTATGGTTACATAAAGGATACGACGACTCGAAAAATGGTAATGAATAATGCCGTTATAAAAGATATTATACAGAAGTGAATCATTCCAGTCGAGAGGTTCCACTATAGAGACGGCCGCGGGGAGTCCAAACTTACGCCCGTGCGCGAAAGATCCAGAGCAGGACTTCCCGTGTTCTCAAGTGCCGCCGTCACTGCGCGGTTTCAAGAGCTTTATTCAATAAAGCCTTACTCCTTAAAGAAATACGCTTATCGCGATAAGGCCTTACCAAACAACCTAAATCGCGTTTAGCTTTCCAATCAATAGAAAGGAAAAGGCAACCTAAGAGAGAAGTTGCTCGGTTGCCATAGAGTTTCATACAATAATACCTAGAGCGGAATCTGGTGCTGCGATCGTGTGCCTCTATGGGAATCGTGGGAAGTACAGGCTTCAGATTGGATTGCGTTAGCTAGCGAACAGTCTACGAATCTTTTACAGCTTCGGTTTCGTTCCTTCGCGCTGCGTGGGGTAGTAGGGTGCGGTGCAAAGCACTGAAGCAGCTCCTTTGTTGTTCAAAGAGGCCGAAGACCACCGAGTCTGAGATTCGCTGCGGCTTTGGAGCTTTACAAGTCGTATTTGACAGCTTAAGCGAAGCGTCGTACACTCACCGCTGTGCATAGAGGCAGCGTCTCATGCGAGTGAAAAATATTACATCGAGTCCACGTTTTTTAGGAGCGAAGCTCCTTAAGGCGTGGGCTGTGCGTCCCCTGTATGTAGCCACCTCTCGTTCAGTTCTAAGTATTACGCTAGCCACCGCCCGATCTAAAGGGTACAGCCATATCCATCCGTCCACCCGTCCGTCCGTCCGTCCGTCCATCCATCCGTCCATCCCTCCGTCCGTCCGCCCGTCCGTCCATCCGTCCGTCCATCCGTCCGTCCGTCCAAAAGATGCAAGATGTTATAAACTAGACGGCGGTACGTGTAGTTGATTATGAAAGATACGAGGTGGTATAAAATAGGAATGATGGCACATATGGCGCGTGTCATCGTTCGATATAGTGCGGCGACGTACGCTAGGGGGAGCGTTGCAATAAAATCGAGTGGGCAAAATGTACGGAGGATTCATGGTTTACCAGGTTTACCTCCGGAGCTTCGCCCACTCATCATCATTCACTTCGTGGATATGGCGGCATTTTTTTCATGAACGCGTGAGCGAGTGAACAAACTTTGTTCACACCAGCGGATTGAGGCGTGGGCCTAAGCCGTGCCAGGGGTGCCGGAGAGACCCCGTCTCTCAGCCGCCTCCCGTGCTCGCTGGATGGCCCATGTTTGATCTGCCAGATCTGAGCTGATCAGCGTAGCTATCCACCACGCCCCAGGCTGTTCTGGGGAGACTGCACTGGCGTCGTGTATCTGTGCGCGTTCCCATAAAATATGCTCTAGGGTGGCGTGCCTCATGCTACATAGCTTACACGAGTTATATGGGTATAGTCCTGCCGTAACTTGTTTGAATCGACTGCAGAGCGACGGCGAAGCTAAGTAGACGCCCAATCGCGTTCCTCTGACTCGACTTCACAACGAAACGAGAGGTATGTCGGGGCAGACCACTCCAACAGACACACCTGGCATGACGTGTTTGTTACTTAATACTGTACTGTTATTTTATAATGAGATAATGTGTACTTTAGAGGGGAAAACAAGGATGGTTGCTTTGAAGTGTTAGCCAAAAAAATCATTATAACTTGATGTCAAATTTGAAATGCAATGGCAGAGCAATGCATACCCTAGCGGTTATATTTGTCCAGGCTTCATTTCTACCTCATAGTCACAAAGAACGTTCTGTAACAAGATTTACGCACAGAAGAGTGAAGCAAGTTTCAGCTAAATATAACTTTATATCACTTTGTTTCACGCTCAGCAAACAAGCGTCGCGAATCCGAAGACCGGAATCCATCCGAAGCAGGTACGAAGCCTGGACTTCTCATAATTCCCATGGTGGTACAAGCACCGCTCAAGGAGCCCACGTAGACACTAGCGCCAGATTACCCACTAGGTATTATTGTATGAAACTCGATTTTTTTTATTTGTATTTGGCGGAACATGGGAAAGTAGGCTACATTAGAGCCGGCTATCCCATCATCATAACAGTAATGTACAATAGAAACACACAGATAAGCAAAATTAGGAATAAAGTAGGAAAAAAAACCAATCAAATGCAATATGCACAATACTACATACATTATGGGGCATTTAAAGCATG